TTGTCCTTGGCTGAGAGCAGCCCGTGGGTAGTGTGGCCTTTGTGTGAATAAAGTAGTGGCTCTAGAGGGCAGCAGCTGGGCCACCAATTAATGATGCTCTCCAGCAGATCTGAGTAGTGTGCTCCCATGGCCAGCACAGGTTATGTGGAATGCTTTGGCACTATTTCTGGTTTGAGGAAACTGATTAAATTGGCATATATTAATGAAAATGTTTTCTGTTATTCAGTTAAAGTCACCCATTTGAGAAAGGTGCTAGCATAGCATAGTGACAGGAACATAATAGATGTAAACTTTTTTCTTTTGCCTTTTGAAAATTAGTATTGATTTAATCCAGCTAACCTTTATGGGGAATATCTACTGCAGGTTAGGCACTGTGATAGGGAAATAAAAGACCCTATTCTGCCCTTCCAGGAGGCACATTGAATGGTGAGACAATGGGGGATTGCGAGGCAGCATTTGAGATGCTCTAAGAGACATCAGCACACTGGTCTCTGGGGCGTGGTTTGGGCTCTGGGGAAGGTATCCAGGAATAGATGCAGTCTGCTCTGAGTGCTGAAGGATGAATGAAGGCAAAGCAGATGAAGAGGAGGGAGGCCTGGGAAGAGGAGCCGTGTTATCCAGTGAGGCCCAGAGAGGAGGGAGCTGGTGTGGTCAGGGGACAGAAGGACCTGAATGTGGGGCAGGGGGGGGAAAGAAAGAGAAATGGGGAGGCAGAGGCTCTTCCATGCAGGCCTGTATCCATGAGGGAGCGTGTGTCAGGGGGCATTGTGTTTGGAGAGTGGGCTTGACATTTTGGAGAGGTCATCTTGTCAGTAGTGTGCAAAATGTCCCAGTAGAAGGTAGGCAGCTGGTGACCAGTCGGGAGTGTGAGCAGCTTCTTCTGCTTGTGTGTGCACATTGCTGAGAACGTACTGCCAGCAAGTGGGAGCAGAGACCATCGGCCCAGACCCAATGTGGCTCTCCTGCCTTGATTTTTGTGCTCAGTCTAGTCCCCTGCGGGGCTACTATCATGAATCAAGCACCTACTGTGTACAGGCATCGTATTAGCTATTTCATATGTTTCTACTTTAACCCTTAAAGCCCTATGATGTAGGTAGCATTATTCCCATCTTAGGGATTAAAAAACTGAATCTCAGAGCTGTTGAGTGCCTTGCCCAACATCAGGCAGCTTGTAAGTGGCAGAACAGAGGTTAGGGCCCAGGCCTCTGGCCTTTTCCCTTGGGGCTTCCATCCCCAGAGTGGGGTATTTGCTGGATTACACAGCCCTCTGGGGCATTTCTCCATCTTGTAAAATGTAATGCCTGTGAATGGTGGTCTTGGCCTGATTCCTGTCTCCAGGAATTTGGAGTATAGAGAAGGAGCAGTTGATTGAAGTTCAAGTCCCGAGTTTGCCAACCACCCAGTTCAACAAACTCTCTATGTGCCAGATGCTGTGGATAGCTGTGTTACTAGTGCCAGCCATTTAACTTCTCTGAGTTTCAGTGTGCTCCCTTAAAAAATGAAAGGGTGGTGTTTGGCTTACTCTAGGGTGCTTTAAACCCTCAGAGCCTCATTAACCCTGAATAGTGAAAAGAGAGTTGGGAGAAACTGGGACCTGGCCAGGGGAGAGTTGACAAGTCAGTGGGGGAGGAGTGTAGGTGGTTTGTAGGGTTGTTAAGATACTGCCATTTGATTTACATTAAAACGTTGTCTCATGTGAAAGGAGCAACTCTGGTCACTTAGAGGTTCTTTTGATTTTCCCAGTGGAGGGGCTTGTTCTGAGCAACCTACTGTCCACCTGGTTTCCATTTTAGCCAAGGGCATATGTTAGCAGCCATCATCTGGAGTGAGGGATGGTCTCATAACTGTGGACTGTGTGGACGGTGGAATCATAGTTTTGGCTGTGAGGACCTTTTCTAACCAGTGGACTGGTCAGTGGGGAGGTGGTGATGTGTGAGGCCTTCTGAGCTGGTGCCTTTTTTTTTTGTCTGTCAACAGATCTGCCAACATTACAACAAAGGAGATGGACCCTACGGCTCTTGTTCCTTTCAAAAGCAATGCATCAAACTCCATATCTGCCAGTATTTTTTACAGGGGGAATGCAAGTTTGGCACTAGCTGTAAGAGATCCCATGATTTCTCTAATTCTGAGAATCAGGAAAAATTGGAGAAGTTAAGCATTAGCTCAGACCTGGTGAGCAAGCTGCCTTCCATTTACAGAAATGCATATGACATCAAGAATAAGAACTCTGCCCTCAGCAGAGTGCACCCTCCTCCTCTAGCCCCACAGGGGACTTCCGGTAAGGCTGGTAGAAAGTGCTGCAGGCTGGGGTTCCTGGCCAGTAAATGGAATATGTGATTTGGGGCAAGTCTGTGCTGGTTTTAGTAAAACAGAGTTGGTGATCCTCTCTTAGCTAGGGGAGCTTATGAGGATAAATTGAAATCATAGACATGCTCAAGCAAGAGTTCTAGACAAATGCGAGTTGGTGTTGATGGTGAATGAATTCCAAATGGGCCTGATCTGCACTGAAATGGGAGACTCAGCTCCTCCTCTTGTTCAGTCACCCCCATGCCCACTCACCCAGAGAGCTTGCCTTTCAGTGACAGACCCCAAAGTTAGGAATGCCATGTTGCACAACTCTAGGGGCATCCTTTGCATTATTTTCTGTTTTGATTTTACAAAATGAGTGAAAACATTTTAATTTTGGCATTGGCCATCTTCCTGGCACAAGTAAATGGAATACTTTTTGTCATTGTAAATTTGTCTGCTTTGTTCTGTGTTTAACTCAAGCACCTAGACAGTGCCATAGTAGACACTCAGACATCTGACAGACAGTGAGTGTGCTAGGATACTTATTTGTTTAAACAAATGTCAGGCTCAGTGATAGGCAAATGGGGAAATTTGGGGCAGGGGCTTTTATTTAATAATCATTTCCTGAGTACTTGTTGTGTGTGAAATGGATGATGTGGTCCCTCAAGGAGAGTATGTCACAATATAGGCCATTGGTTGGTCCTTTTGGTTATCCATTCTTCTGTTCAACAACTTTGAGTGCTTGCCATGCGCTGGGTACTGTCCTGGGCCCTGCTTATTCCTTCATGAATATGAGACAGCGCTCCCCCTCGGAGCATAAGCAAACCCACTTGTTTAGCTGAAGTTATAGCTATGATTTTTAGTGGACCATTTCCTAAAATGTCAGGTGAGTGCCAGGACTACCAGCAAACAAATCTACTAGTCTAATCTTATCTGATATTTATATTTAAAAATTGACCTTGTTTTTTCTTTACATTCTCTTCAATTATGCTTTGTTAATTTCAACTGTAGGAAGCCTAGAAGTAGACAGGTTTTACTTTTAAATGGATCTTTAAGATTGTCAGTTGGACTATAGCGTTGTTAGAAAGGGAGGGGAGGATCCACTGCTGAGTGATGTTACCTCCAGAGTAGTCACCCATTCTGGGGGAGAGAGGGAGGTGACCTTCAGGGTCCCACAGGCCTGGGTTTTGAGGCCTACCCTGTAGGGTATCTGAGGGGCTTATAAAAAGAAAAGGGAAGATGAATAATGAAATGGCAGGTGATACCGAATAGGGAGAGGTTGCAAGTGAGTTTTATATGCTTATTTGGGGGTAGGTTAAAGACTCTTCGGAGTTGTACCAGTAAAGGTAAACTTTGAAAGCATTTATATACCCTTTTATATTAAGATTCTTTTAAGAAGTCTAAAAATAATTAAGGAAGTTTCATTTTAAGATGTAGACTTTCCATTTATTGCCTTTTTCTTTGTATTAGCAGCCAATTTCGATAGTTCATGAACAAGTATTTGCTATATAGACCAAATCTGTAAACAGTAGCTCTCCTTTTGCCTTCAGAGGGGGTCATCACAGCCATAGGTAGAAGGAATTGTAAGCTGCCTCAGCGTGTAGGACAGGTGTTTTCTCCTTATTTAAAAAATGTTCCTGGCTCCATCCTGGAGCCTCTGATTCAACTGATCTGTCGTGAAGCCCATGCACTTGTATTTTTAAATGGGTATCCTAGTGAATCGGGTGCACCACCAGAGTTGAGAAAAGAGCCCCTCCGTGGCATCCTGAGTTTGGCAAGCAGGCTCCCAGCTGGTCCCTAAAAAGTAGAGGGCCCACCTGCGTGTCTCAGGGTACTTTTGTCCCTTACATGATGGAGTTTTGTGAGCTTGGCTTGTCCACTTTTGTGCAGAGAGATGAATGTATCCTCTTTTCTCTCCTTTGTACCCATATCAGAAGCTGACACATCTTTGTGGTGTTTCTTTGTAGAAAGAAGAGACAGTTCAGGCCCTGTGTCCCCAAACACTCTTAGTCAAGAGGAGAGTGATCAGATCTGCTTGTACCATATCCGGAAAAGTTGTAGTTTTCAAGGTAAGTTGGAGGAGGCCCCTTCATCCCACTTGTGGGGGGGATAACTGCTTCTCCCTCCTGGAGCTCCCACCCTTGAGATCTTCCCCGTCTAGAGAGGATGGGGCCTGGCACATGAACCAAGCCAGTTCTGAAGCTATTTTGTTGGGAAGTTGAGGAAGCAATTCTTTTGAGTTTCCAAAAATCAAACTATGGAACATTTTTGGGTGCACAGCTGTTTAGTTCATGCAGCAAATAGTGTCAAGTATTGACCTTCAGTCAGCTTAGCATGAGGTCATGAACCTGTATGAGCTGTCTAGTGGGAACAAAGATAAGGGTGATGATAGACTTAGAGATGCCTTAGAAACTGGGAAACACCTCAGTGAGGAGGAAACACTTGTGTTAGCTCTTGGAGAATGAGTAATTATTTAAGTTAAGGGTTTCTTCTGTGTTGATCCAATGAACTCCACAGTCCCTCTTTTATCAGAAGTAGCAATTCTTGTGTGCGTGTGTGTGTCTGTAGTTTGACTAAACTTTTGTTTTCTTTTTAACTGCTATCCTGGGCTTTGACTGAAGAAAGATTTGTTCTCAAATTTGGTGACTCCCCTTAAAAAACAGCCACCAAACCTTCTTGTTTCATTTTTAATCTTTACAAATTACCCAAGCAATTCATGAATATTTTCACTTTCTAAAAGAGTCCAATAATACAGAGTAAAGCATGAAGTCCTTCGTCCTTCCCCAAAGGTAAACATTTGCTGTTTGGTTATGATGTTTGTTTTACATATTTTTAAACAGATGGGAACATATGATAATGTATTATTCAGCCTGCATCTTTTATTTAACCTTGTGTCTTGGGGATTTTTTTCCATATCAGTATATGTAAGTCCACCTCATTTTTGAAAAAATGGTGTATTTGATTATGGTGATGTTCCATTGAACATCCAAGCACACATGTGTATTTCTGTGGTTAAATTCCTAGAAATGGAATGCTAGGTCAAAGAATATGTGTCTCATATATACATATGTATGTATATTTTAAAAATCAATATTATTGAGATATAATGTATGCATGATAAAATGCACTCATTTTAAATGTGTAGTTCCGAGTTTTGATAAGTGTGTATGCCCATGTAACCATCACTATGATAAAGATATGGTACATTTCCATCACTCCAAAATAGTTCCCTTATGCCCCACCCCACAGTTTGCCAACCCCAGGTAATTCCTGATCTACTTTTTGTCACTGTAGATGAGATTTGCTTTTCTAGAATTTCATATAAATGGAATGATACAGCACGTATTCTCCTGTGTCTGGCTTTTCTCATTGAGCATGTTTTTGAGACTTAGTCATGCTGGCATGTCAGTAGTTTGTGCCTTCTTATTTCTGAGTAGTATTCCATTGCATGGATTGACTGTGGTTTGTTTATTCATATGTTGATGAACATTTAGGTTGTTTCCAGTTTTTGGCTTTTACAAAGACAACTTCTATAATTCATGTACAGGTTTTCGTGTATATATGTTTTCATTTCTCTTGGGTAAGACCTAGAATGGAATTACTGGGTTATATAATATGTGCTGTGCTTTATAGGAAACTGCCAAATTGTTTTCCAAAATGGATATAATACATTACATTCCCACCAGCAATGTATGAGAGCTCTGTTTGCTCTACATCCTTGCCAGCACTTGGTATTGACAGTCAATTTTAAGTTTTAGCCATTCTAATAAGTGAGTAATGGTGTCTCATTGTAGTTTTAATTTGCATTTCTGTGATGATTAATGATGTTTAACATTTATTTTCATACGCTTATTGGACATTTGTGTATCTTCTTTGAAGTATCTGTTTAAATATTTTGCCGATTTTTTGTATAACAGCTTTATTGAAATATTGAATACATCACATACCATACATTTCACCCATTTAATAGTTTATAGTATAGTCTCAGAATTGTGTAACCATCATCACAGCCAATATTAGAACATTTTCATCAGCCTCAAAGAAACACACCATTTGCAGTCACTCCACTTTGCCTGCCTCCCCCCTCAGCTCCTGGCAATTACAGATTTATGTCTGTCTCTAGGAGTTTGCCTGGATATTTCATATAAATGGAATCATACAATATTTGGCCTTTTATGACTGCTTTGTCCATTTTTTATTGGTTTATTTAATCTCTCATTATTGAGTTGTTAACGTTTTGTATATTATTTATATTGAAAACATATTCTCCCAGTCTGTGTTTTTTATGTTCATTTTCTTAATGGTGTCTTCTGAAGAATAGATGTTTTAATATTGATGTCCATTTTAATATAATATTTTTTTTTATGGTTTGTGTTTTTTGTAGTCTAAAAATGTTTGCCTATTCCAAGTCCACAAAATTTTTTCTCCTATGGTTTTTTTCCTAAGGTTTAACAGGTTTAGTTTTTATGTTTAGTCTAGCTGTAAACTCTTTTTTGTTTGTTGGTTTTGGCAGCTGGCTGGTACAGGGATCCGAACCCATGACCTTAGTGTTATAAGACTGTGCTGTAACCGTAGTTGTAAAAACTCTTGTTCTGTTGACTGATCATTATTTCCTTAGGTATTTGCTTCTTCTGTTTGGGTTTGTGGCCTCTTTTTGTATGATTTTCCCTCTTGTGTTGGGTGATTCTTGGTTGTCTGTCATGCTGGTACTTGAGAATCCCTGTCTGCCTGTTGATTGATTTTAGGGGGCTGATTCTGACTCCAGGTCCTTGTCCCAGTGATGATGGGGAAGAGGCAGTAGATCCTGCTTGGTGTGGTGAGCTGCTAGTGTGATGCCTACCACTGGGGCAGGGGCTTTGGTAGCTATCTCATGTGCTTTTTTCTCTCTCTAGCCCTTGTATCCACACCTACAAGTCTGTCTGGGAAGCAAATAGCAAGGTTGCTGGGCACAGCAAGTCAGAGCGAGGGAGTGCCTGCTCCAGTGGGTCCTGATACTGTCACTGTAATTGGTCTGGGTATCTTTCTTGTTCCATCTTTCATCTGTGAGCCTGTGAAGCCCTCAGATTCTTTCTACTTCTGTGGTGTCTTTTGCATATTTTGTGTGCATTTTTCTTTCTTCTTTTTATATCAGGTTCCTTGGTCTTGTTTGTGTCGTCTGTGTTCAAACTCTGGACAAGCCAGGAGATCCTAAGTCTTTGGTGTGGCTGTGTCCCACCTTGTTGAATGTAGAAATTTCTTTACTTGAGTACCTGCATCTTGTTCCCTGAGCCCTCTCAGCCTGGTGCCCTCTTCTGACCTGTCTGCCTGGCCCCAGGCCTGCTCTTGACAAACCCAGCAGCCTCACCTTTCTCCTCCATAGTACTTCCCTCAACACTTGTACCTGCATCTTGTTCCCTGAGCCCTCTCAGCCTGGTGCCCTCTTCTGACCTGTCTGCCTGGCCCCAAGCCTGCTCTTGACAAACCCAGCAGCCTCACCTTTCTCCTCCATAGTACTTCCCTCAACACTTTTGCAGAGTCTGAGAAAGAAGTGGTATTGAGGTGTGCCTGAAAGAATGCATACATTTTAGAAAATTTTAATTTTTTTCAAGTGTCAAATTAGCCAGGTTTCATTATTATTATCTCGAAATATGAATTTAAAATATACAAAGGATATTCAGTAAGGAGTATCTCTCACACCTGTTTTCCCAAGCACCCAGTTCCCCTCCAAGAAGCAAACATGGTTGACCCATTCCTTGAGTGTCCTCCCATGAACACTTTATACATGTACAAGTAAATATGTCTACTTGGTTTCATTCTTACACAGGCACACTAGAACATTGCTTTTTTCTCTTAACTAGGTGTTTAATTTTTTTCGAATGTACAATATATTCTTGTGGTTCAAAATTCAAAACCCACAACAATGACAGGAGTCTTGTCTCCAGCTCCCCAGTTCCCTCTGCAAGAAATAATATGTGCATATATGTGTATTTAGTCAGAGTATCTCTAATCTTATCTTTTACTCAAATAGGGGCATTCTGTACCTTGTTCTGTATCTTTCCACCTAATAGTATATATCTTGGAGGTAGCTCCACATCACAGTGTGGAGCTCTCTGTTCTTTTTCTCTCCTTTCTCCCTGTCCTCTTTGTGTTCCTCCGTATGGATGTTGCAGAGTCTCATCAGGCTATTGGAAGGTAGAGAGAGGGTGCGGGTGGTGCTCCAGGTGGTGGGGCTGGCATGAGCAAAGGCAAGGCGGGCAGCAAATGCCTGGAGTGATGAGGGAAGTGAAGACCTGGGTGTGAGGAGGAGCACGGAGAAGGTGTAGGAGAACAGCTGGCCTGGAACCACAGGTCTGGGCTCTTGTTTGGGTATGGGTGGGGCAGAGCAGTATATGTGAAGACCTGCAGGGGGTGTGTTGAGGAAGGGGTATGTTGACAGCCAGAAGGGATCCACGTGGGCTGGAACCCCACTGCTGACCTACCTTTGGTGGAATGTGTCAGGGTTGGGATGGGTTTGTGGCACAGATGAGTCTGACTCCATCTTTGATGTGTGACCTCTTCCCGTCCAGATGTCTCATATAGAGATATTGAGCAGTTAGACTGCCACCTGCAGGGATGGGGCTTTGACCTTCTCATGATCAGCCTCTTTACTGTTATGGAATAAAATTTGTAGGTGATATAACCCACCAACATACATATTTTTAAAAATCAATGTCCTGTTAAAAAGGGAGACATAAGGGGGCTAGCCGGTTACCTCAGTTGGTTAGAGTGCAGTGTTATATCACCAAGGTCAAGGGTTCAGATCCCTGTATAAGCCAGCTGCCAAAAAAAATAAAGGAAGGGGAGACATAAAAGGAAGACGTATATAATACACAGTATTTCAATATCTAAATGCTCAGGTATGACTACAGTAAAAAAACAGACTCCCCCCAAATTTCCAGAATATTCGCAGGTCAGCCGGCAGCACTACACCCATTGACAACTACAGTGCTAGGCCATGCTGTGTATTGCCAAGCTGTCTTACTTCTTTATGTTTTTATTTTAGATAAGTGCCATAGAGTTCATTTCCATTTGCCGTATCGATGGCAGTTTTTGGATGGAAGCAAATGGAAGGATTTGGACAAAATGGAGCTTATTGAAGAGGCATATTGTAATCCCCATAAAAAGAGGTAGGAAATATGTCATTTGTCTCTGCTTTGTGCCTGGGCTTTTGTGTGCAGTGTAGGAAGTTAGTATAGTTAAACAGCAGTGTTTAGTTTTGATGGCCTTTATACATGCACACACTAAGCAGCCTGGCCTGGAGTGGAAGCTTTGGGTTAGAAATTGGAGGTTAATGTTCATACTGACAGTTTGGTGGCTCTGTTCTCCCAGTTTCCTCTCCTTTCAGGGAGGAGGTAGAAAGGAGAAAACGGTAACAAGACCAAGAGGTGATAATGTGTGGAATTTTAGCCTTTTATGTAAAGTCATACAGCTAAACTGCCCTTTATTGTTTAACCTTTTAACTTTTTTATTTTTCTAAGTGTGTCCTAGTGTTTTCACTCAGTCAATTCAGAGTAAATAGGGAAGCCCTGGGTAGCCTTGTTTTCAAATATTTATATCTTGGATTGAACTTGCTAAAATATGTTGCCAAGAGTAGAATTTGAGCCTACCTTTTGAGTGTATAAAATAAATTTGAACTTAGAAATTTGCAAATAATTACACTTTATTGGTAAAGTTATGTGAAACAAATTATTCCCCTTAGGAGGATTAAATGGCTCACATACCTCTCCTAATTGTTTTTGAGGCAAAATTCACACACAGTTACACACAGTGCACAGTTATTAAGTGTTCAGTGAGTTTTGACAAATGGCGTACACTTGTGTAGCTAGCACTCTGATTGAGATGTAGATCATATTCATCACTCCAGAAAGTCTTCTCATGTCCCCTTCCAGTTATTCCCTACCTCCATGGGCCACCACTGTTCTGACTTCTGTCACCATAAATTAGTCTTGCCTGTTCTTGAAGCACATATAGGTGGAACTGTATGTTGTGTTTGGTGTCTTTCACTTAGCAGTCTGATTTTGACCTCATCCATGTTGTGCTTGTCTCCCAGTACACATGTGTATGAGTTTCTTGAGTGTAGATGGTCCAGGAAGGGAACTGCTGGAAGGTAGGCTGTATATGTCCTCAGCAGCTCTGCCAGGTGATGCCAAATTGTTTTACAAAGTGATCGGACCATCCTCCACCCCCCAGTTAGCAGTTTCTAACGATACTTCATCCCTAACATTGGTATTGTCTGACGTCTAAACTTTTCCAAGTCTGAGGGTGTAAAATGGCCCAAATCAGTTTGAATAGCCCTGATTTCTAATGAGGTAGAGCTTCTCACCACATGTTTATTGGCCTTTTGTGCTTCTTGTGCCCTGTGCTGTGAAATGTCTGTCCTTATAGTTTTTGGGAGGTGGGGGAGGCTGTCATTTTATTTCTTTTTAGGAATTCTTTAAATTTCTGGTTATTACAGTTGAAAATAAACTCTTCCAGCCAACTTATGGTATCTTGTAATGAATAGAAGTATTTATCCATTTTTTCATTTATGTTTTTTTCCTTTTTCTGTCATAAGAAATTCTTATCCCAAGACCATAAAGAAATTCTCCTGAGTTTTCTTCTGAGTCTTAATATTTTAATACTGTATTTAATCTCTTTTGTGTGGTGAAGTTTGGGCCCAGATTCTTTCTTATGTAGATGAATTACCTGTTTTGGCAAAGACTACTTTTAAAAATTTTGTTTAATATTCTTATGTGGTAAGATGTACATAACATAAAATTTATCATCCTAAGCATTTTTAAGTATACAGCTCAGTGGCATCAAGTACATTCACATTGTTGTGCAACCATCACCACTATCCATTTTCATCAGTGAATTTATTTTTAAACCTGTCAAAACAGAGCCAAATTTGGTAAAATGTTAACACATCTCATAGTTTATTTTCAGACTCGGGCACCAAATACCACTTTTTAAAGTAGGCAACCTTTTCTCCACCTGTCTTCAAACTGTGGGGTACCAAGTTAGCAAATATACTTGAATATGCTTCTGGCCTCTCTTTATTGGTCGGTTTGTCTCTTTATCAATACCATGCTGTTTACTTACTAGAGCTTTATAGTAAGTTCTGGCATCTGGTAAGGCAAATCCCCAACCTTGTTGTTCTTCAAATTGTCTTGATTCTTCTTGGTGTTTTGCTCTTTAGAAATATTAAAATCTGCTCCTCAGCTTTCACCAAAAAAACTCTGTTGTGTTTTTAAAATTGAAATTGCATTGACTATTGCCAGTTTGGGGAGAATTGACATTTTTATGAGGTTGATACTTTCTATTTATATACATGATAACATCTCATGTATTTACTCTTCCTTAATATTTTTCAGTAGTTCTATAATTTTCTACCTTAAGGTCTTATTTTTTTTTAGATTTTTTTTCTCCCTTAGGGATCTGTTAGCTTCTTCACTTTTTCAAAAAAATTATTTTTAAGTTTGCTGATGCAAGAAATCTCGTATCCTGCAACTCTACTAAAATACCTTAATTCAAATAAATTATAGTAGGTTCTTTTGAGTTATCTATACAAAAATTAATATAATCTATGAAGCATTTTTATTTCTTCCTTTTTAATTCTTATACATTTTATTTCTTTTTATTGCCTTATTGTAGTAGCTGGGACCTCCTATACCATGCTAGATAGAAGTGGTGATAACTGGAATCTCTTTATTTTCCCTTCTTTTCTTTCCCCTAATTTAAAAAGAAGAAACTTTTAAGTGTTTCACCTTAAGCATGATGTTTACAAGTAAATTTTTGGAAACTTTGGCCTTGTTAAATAAGGAATTCTAATTTTATGTTAGTATGTTAGGAGTTTTTAAAAAATTGTGTATGGAAATTGAATTTTATTGAATGGTGTTTCTGTATTTATTAAGAGCCCATGGTTTATTCTGCTTTACTTATTAATGCAGTAAATCACATTAGTTTTCTAATGTTAAGATTACTTGCATTCCTGGGCTTAAACCATACTTAGGATAAACACACACATGCACACGCACATGTAATACAGTGCTAAATTTGGATTGCCAGTACTTGGTTTAAAATTTTTGCATTTGTGTTTGAATAAGATTGTTCTATAATTGTTTCATACTATCTTTGTATAGATTTTATTTTTTATTTATTTATTTTTTGTATAGATTTTATATAAAGAAGTTTCTGGGTTCATAAAAAGGTTGGAATGGTTTCTGCTGTTCTCTGGAAAATTTATGTAAAATTAGAACTATTTTTCCTGAATGATTGGTCATATATCTATAAAAATGTCTAGGAAGATTTTAAACTACTGACCCAATATCTTATAACTGTTACAGGGCCAGTCAGATTTTCTGTTTTTCCTTGAGTCAATTTTGTTAAGTTTATATTTTTTCCAGGAGTTTGTTCATTTTTTTTTTCAATCTTATTGTCATAAAGTTGCTTGTAATATCTCTTTCAGTGTCTATGGAATCTTTGTTTTATTTTATTTATTTATTTATTAAGGAAATGAAATTTATTTCTTACAACTTTGGAAGCTGGGAAGTCCATGGTCGAGGGGCCTATCCTGTGAGGGCCTCCTTCCTGGTGAGGATTCTGCAGAGTCTGGAGTGGTGCAGATCATTACATATTGAGGGGACAAGAATATGTCCTATGGCATCTTTAGTTTTGTCCCCTTTTATATTTCTAATATTTCTTTTCCTCCTCCCTTTTTTCTTCATCAATCTTGCAGAGATTTATTAATTTTACTAGCTTTTTTTTAGAAGAAACTTGTATTTTTTTGATCCCATGTATGAACCCATAGTTTATTTCTAAGTGTATTTTTAAATTCATTTATTTATTTAATTTCAAACAAATTGCATTGTCAGAAAATGTAGATCATATAATAACAGATTCTTTGGATTTTGTTGAGACTTGTTTCATGGTGTAGTACACAGTTTTCATAAAAGTACTATGTATCCTAAGATTTTTTGGATGCAGTGTTAGATCAAGCTTGTTAATCATGTGGTTCAAAACTTCTGTATCCTTTTTGATTTCTTCTTCTGCTTTTATCAGTTACTGAGAAAGAGATATGCTAATACTGAGTATGAATTTTTTCAGTTTCTTAATTTCGTCAATTTGTTTTATATATTTAAAAACTATTAATAAATATATACAAGTTTAAAATTTTTATCTTTCTAGTGAATTGGTCCTGTTAGCAATATAAAGTGATGCTTTTTATTTCTAGTAATGATTTTTGTCTTAAATCTGTTTTGTCTGGTATTGATATAACTATAACTAGCTTTCTTTTCACTATTCAAGCTTAGTCGTTCTTACACTTCCTGTAATTATCATAGAACACTGGATAGTTTTCCAGTTTGACAATCTTTCTCTTTTAATTAAAAATTAGTTGATATTTATTGTGATTATCTATACATTTCAGTTTATTTCTACTGTCCATCTTAGTTTTTTGCTCTGTGACCCACTTTTTAATATTTCTTTTCTCTTCTCTTAGATTTTTTTCCTCATTTTTTCCCCCCTAATCTACTAGTTTGGAAGTTATATACTGAATTTCTGTTGTTTTAGTGGTTACCCTAGAAATCTAAACAGACATTTTTATCTTAAACTTTAGTTTATCCACTTGAGTTTATAATACCTTTTATCATTCTCTCAATCAATAAAAGAACCTTAAACCCTTGAATTCTGACTAGTTCTATTCAAACTTATTTACTGCTTGTATGAATTTGGGAAATTTATTCAACCTCACTCTGCCTCTGTTTTTCTTTGTGAAGTAGATAAAATAGTAGTCTCTACATCATAGATTAATTTGAGAATTAAATGAGTTATTATATGTAAAACATTCAAAATAGTAACAGGCACGTGAGACGTGATATATGCTGCTATTATTTTTTTTTTATCACAGTATTTAGAAATTAGCATTGTTTTATGTAGTCAATATTTGTTTAGACTTACACAATCGCCATTTCGTTTTTTGCTCATCATTCCTTTGCTCACACTTCTTCTTGTGGATCATTTTTCTTCTTTAACTTCATCTACTAGAAGCAACGTTAGTGAGTCCGGTGGTTAATGTGTTTTTTGATTATCTGAAAGTGTCTTTATTTCCTCTTCATTCTTGAAAGTTTTTTTTAAATTCTTTTAAGAAGAATTTTTGGTTTGTGTTATTTTGTTGTTTTTTATTTTATTTTTGTGAAAGATAGTTTTATTGGATAATTTTGTCTGCTTTAAAGATGATTCTATTGTTTTCTAGATTCTATTGCTTCTATTCAGAAGTTAACTTTTAGTCTAAATGTAGGTATATTAGTTTCTTAGGGCTGTTATCACAAATTACCATGAACTTGGTGGCTTAAAACAACAGAAATTTATTGTTTCACAGTTTTGGAAGCTAGAAGTCCGAAATCAAGGTGTCAGCAGGGCCATGCTCTATCTGAAGGCTCTAAGGGGATGATCCTTCCTTGCTTCTTCCTAGATTCTGGTGGTTGTTGGCAATCCTTGGTGTTCCTTGGCTTGTAGACACATCACTTCAATTTCTGCCTCCATTGTCACATGGCATTCTCCTCCACACGTCTCTGTGTCTGTGTCCAAATTTCCCTCTTCTTATAAGGACACCAGTCACTGGATTAGGGTCCACCCTAATCTAGTATGACCTCATCTTAAGTTGATCACATCTGCAAAGATACTGTTTCCAAATAAAATCACATTCACAGTTTCCGGGGGTTAAGACTTATCTTTTGGGGGCACAATTCAACCCAGTGCAATAGGTAATCTGTTTTTTCTCTCTGACCACTTTTAATATTTTGTCATTCTTTGGTGTTGTATGGTTTCACTAAGATCTGTCTATGTATGGATCTATTTTTATCTGTTCTACTTATAATTTGTTGTGCTTTCTGAATTCCTCAGCCATGATATCTTCAAGTATTACTTCTCTGGAATTCCAATTAGACATATGTTGAGATCTTCTTACTTTATCTTTTATGTCTCCTAACTTCTCTTTCATTCTTTCTCTCTCTCTGCTGCATTCAGGGGAATTTCTTCCCCTCAGTCTACCAATTCTAACTATGATTTTAAAATTTCAGTTATTATTTACTTCTAAAAGTTCTGTTATTTTTCTACAAATTTACCCAGTCAATTTTTACAGTCTCTTGATGCTTACTCACACTTTTGATACTCAATTCAGTTTTTAAAAACACATTGTACATACCGTATATTTGCTCCCAAGAACATTAATGTTTGTAGCCTTTGGTGGTCTTATTCTATTTGTTTTTGCCAACTTTTGCTCACGATGTCTTGTTTCCACTTGTGTTTTGTGATTTTTTTTGATTTTTGAGTTCATGTTTGATGAAACTTTATCTGTAGAAATTCCCCTGGGGCCTCAGTTAAAGGTGAACTCCTCTAGAGAAGGTTTGCTTCTCTGGAAACTGCTACCTTGGGTCTTTAAAGTTAATTCTCACATACAAAATGTGAATCAGCTCAAAACGTTTGTGAGTCTTGAGTGGTTTATGAGTTCCTAGGGGAATTTTTTTCTCCTCCATCCAGAGCCAACATTAACACTGGCAAATTTTCTTGCTGACTGCCTTTGTAAGACAGGTCTCCTCCTCAGCCTCCTTTAGCTAAGGGTGTGTAGTCTTTTAGGGTCCTGGTTTTATGCAGAAGTATCTTTTGAGATTCAGCCTCCCACCTTACTCAGACTCTACATTTGTTTCCTGTTTTCCTTTTGCTGCTAAAAACAAGGCTCTTTGTCACTGATCATTGACACCACCCTTGGATAGCCACTGGCTTTAGCCCTCATGTGTCTCTCCAGTTTTATACATTCCCATTGGTCTTTAGGCAGCAGTGCATTTAGAAAGGGAGCATATCCTGGTGGCTAAGCATGCAAGCACACTGGCTTTAGCCCTCATGTGTCTCTCCAGTTTTATACATTCCCGTTGGTCTTTAGGCAGCAGTGCATTTAGAAAGGGAGCATATCCTGGTGGCTAAGCATGCAAGCTGTACAGCCAAACTGCTTACCTTAAACCCCAGCTCCACCATCTACTAGCTGTTTGACCTTGGACAGGTTTCTTAACCTTCCTGGGCTTCTGTTTTCCCATTTGTGAAGCAGAGATAATAGCCTCAACCTCATAGGGTTATAAAGATTTAATCTCCTAATATGTATGAAGAACTTAATACAGGTTCTGGCTCACAATAAACATTCAGTATAAAGTGATTAGAGCATGGTGTTATAACACCAAGGTCAAGGATCCCCGCACTGGCCAGCCACCAAAAAAACAAAACAAAACAAAAAACACAGTATATGTTAACTATTGTTATTTTTGCCTTCTAAGGGTTTCTCATACTTTTTGCCAGCTCAGCAGCATTTTTAAAAAGAATCGTTTAACCAGCATTCTCTGTGTTTTGTAGTGAGAGGAATTTTCATAATTAGTCTTCAGTGTTACCCTGATTTAATTATTTTTGCACAGCAAAACTGATCTTAAAAAGTAGCTTCCCCACACTCTTAAAATGAGCATGTCACATTTAATATTCACATGTACCAGCTGTGTGTTCTCACAGGTGGAAGCTGAGGAGCCTGTGTTTGTTTGGCTGGTGGAATTTTCAATCTACCTCTCATTATTTTTGTAGCATCCTGTGCACTGTGTCAGCCAGTAATTTTCACTTTGATGCTCTGAACTTTGGCTCCATGATGTTTGGTGCTGCCCGGGCTCGTCGCCTCTCCACAGCCTCCTCGGTCACCAGACCTCCACACTTCATTCTCACCACTGACTGGCTTTGGTACTGGGCCGATGAGTTTGGTTTTTGGCAGGAATATGGAAAACAAGTAAGTGTGATGGAAAGAGGGTGAGTGTTTTGTTCAGAGGACCCACAACGGAGGAGCCATTCCACACAGGAGCACAGGATTGTTACCAGGGGCGACCTTGATGGAGCCAAAGATCCCCAGATCTTGCTTTGGGGGAATTATGGCAAAACTAGATAATTTGGAGTTTATTTGTATGAGCTTCCATCTTTGAACAGTTAGATATCTGTTGGCTCATGAGAACTGAATGACCAAAAATTGTAGTGACATCAGGATTCCTCATTGGTTTTGTTAAATGGAGTAGAAAAATACTTCTCTGACTTACTGAACAGGTAACTCCAGAGCTAGTGCTTCCATGTGCAGGTGTGTTTGGATGGCTGTGGTATAAAGTTTAAGGCTTTTCAAAGTGGCTTTCTGCCATTTTTGCAACTTTATAGAAGGTGGGCAAGAATAAGAGAACTGATTTATATCAGGTATTGATTTGGAATCCAGATCAAGTAATTGCTGCTGTCATTTATTTGAAGAAGTTCATGGATGGATCAGATTAAAGGGAGTCCGCTGATCACTTGTAGAAGTACAGGTATAGGGAGGGCATCATTTATATAGGGATCCTGTATTAGTCTGTTTATGTTACTTTAACAAAATACCTGAAACTGGTAATTTATAAAGAAGCAATATTTACTACTTACAGTTTTGGAGGCTGGGAAGTCCAAAGACCAGGGAAACATATCTGGTGAGGTGACTCTACAGCAATGCAGGGTGTCACATGGCAAGAATGGTGATGCAGAGAGAGACTAACCTCTTTTTTTTTTTTTTTTTTTAAAGATGACTGGTAAGGGGATCTTAACCTTTAACCTGGCATTGTCAGCACCATGCTCACCCAGCGAGCAAACCGGCCATCCCTATGTGGGATCCGAACCCGGGGCCTTGGTGTTATCAGCACCACACTCTCCCGAGTGAGCCACAGGCCGGCCCAGACTAACCTCTTTATTTGCTCTCCTTTTAAAGTCACCAGAACCACCCCCATTATTCCAAGAATGAGTCAATCCATTCACTAGGGTACAGTCCTCATAATCCAATCACCTCTTCAAGGCCCCACCTTTGAACTACCACAGTAGGATTTTCCACCCTCTTAACACTGTCACAGAGGGAACCAGACGTCAATGAGTTGGGGGGGGGGGTTAATCCATAAGTCTATAGCAGACACCCTCTCTCCAAAATGAAAATTGAGATGTGTGGTCTGGTAGATATTTATACTCTTCGGGGTTGTAAGTGGCTATATTGAAGCTTTGGTTTCTTCTTGACTGCCCTTAGAATACCTTTTGTTCTCTGGCCACGCTCTAAGCTCCACAAGGGCAGGGAGTTTGTCTCTCTCTTATATTGACATATCCCCCGTGCCTAGAACAATGCATAGTAGGCCCTCAAGAAATAGACGTTGGCCGACTGAAGGAGAGGGTATTGCTTCCTCAAGTCTGTTGGTCAGTTGGAGTTGGTCACTCTCAGTGGTGGCCTCATTCTTCACCTTCTACCTCATCTGCTCGTTTCTTCCTGGCATCAGCCTTTCCTCACCTGCTGCTCCACCCTGCCTTTTTCCCACCCATCTCCCTCCCCTCTCAAGTATCTTGGGTCTCTGTCTTACCTGCCCTGTGGGCCTTGTTCAGACAGTTCTCTGAGTTTGGTCAGGAGCATGAGGGAAGGTGGGGGTGGATAGCTGGCTAATCACCTCCATGAATCCAGCTTACCTGGTAACAAGGTGGAGGGATGAATGGCAGGTGAGATGCACTTAGTGAATGAAACTGTCACTTACATTTTATTTGGTGATCTGTCAGCTGGCTAATCACCTCCATGAATCCAGCTTACCTGGTAACAAGGTGGAGGGATAAATGGCAGGTGAGATGCACTTAGTGAATGAAACTGTCACTTACATTTTATTTGGTGATCTGTGTGGCTTCTGGGGGGAGACGGGAAACCCTTGGTTGTGGAGTGGGATGACACATGCCCTGGGGGCATCCCATGCAAACGTAAGGTTACTGGTGATTCCTTAAACTGAATTGTTACAACTCTGGGTATTGGGAGGCTTTCTCCTCCAAACTAGTTTAGAACAGTTTGAGAATCTCTGGGGACAAACTGTATATGGATATTATTGACACACCCAGGTGCTGTTGGGGTGTAGACACGGTGTGGACTTGGTGAATTCCAGCTGTGTGGTCTCATTCTGTACATTAGTGGGCAGGCTCATGTGATGGTCTGCTCATTCTTATCCTTTTCCACACATTTCTGGTGTAACCCCATATTTGGATTTCTTTCTAAGTTGTTTACTAATTTACAGTTCAAGACAGTTCTCTGTTGTTTCCTGGAAAAGCCAAGTTCTTTTCTATCAGAGCTGAGGCTGTACCCCAGAGTTTTATGTCAAAAATCAGACACCTGCTGGTCCTTCCAACAGACATGTGGGAAATTGTTCCTTCCACATCTCACCAGGGCCCCAAGGAGCTAAACTGGGACCTTCCGTGGTTTCACACAATGCGGCTGCTGTTGTTGGTTTCTCCTTTGGAACCCCCACTGGGGACAGAACCCCTCTGCTTTTTCTTTCTGCTCAGCCATCTGCATGTTCCCTTTCACTGTGACACCCTGTTTTAAAGGATTTTGACTTAAAGTTGGGGGCAGGGGCAGGACGCCTGCGTCTGACTGCTCATCTTCTCTTTCTGTTCCTCTCGACTCCTTGCTTCATCTCCTAAGGTCTAAAGGGGAGGCTTATTTTCTTTTCCTTTTCCCTTGTTGTCTGGAAGGAATTTTTATGCCACATCTTCTCCCCTCCACCCCCCACTCTAATCTCATGGGTTGGTTTAGTTTCAAAGAAGGGCTGAGTTCAGAAGGAGAAACTTAGACACCAATATAAGATCATAAAATAGGAGGCTCCTTCAAAAATCATATATCTATTACAGCCTCCCCTGATGGCCTTCATGGGGCCAACTCATTCTCATCCCTCAGGCTAGGGCCTTGGCTCAGGTGTCTTTTCTCCAGAAATCCTTTGCTGGGTCCCCCCTCTTTAGCTCCTGTAGCACTTCTGCAGACCTGTGTGAGATCTTGAGCACTCCAGACCTTAGAATGTCTGCCTGCTTGTGGCTCCCCCTCCTTCAGTGCTGGACCGAGTTGCCTGGAGGCAAGGGCAGATCTTGTTTCATTTATTGTTCTATCTATAACAACTAACTTGTGACCTAGGAGGACTAGGATGGTAGCCATAGGGGGAGTAGGGAAATTTACAGGGACAGAGGGAATTATAGGTTCAATAATAGTTTTAGTTATCAGTGCAATGTCAAGTATAAGAATAATGATGATGATGATAGATAATGTTTCTTGCATGCTTTTTGTTCTGGGCAGTGTCCTAACTGCTCTGCATGCCTTACTTTAATTGTTTTTCCAATCCTGTGAGGATACTGTGATCCTATTGAATAATGGGATGAGTATGGCCTAAGTACTGTTATTCTTTCTGCTATACATTTGAGATAACTGAGGCCCAGAGAGGTTAAAATAACTTGCTCAGGTTATAGAGTCAACAGGTTTGGGAGCCATGAGTTCAAACTCTGTCAGTCCAACCCAAAATGTTAGACGTCCTGTAGGTAATTGTAGGAAGGATGAGAGATTGAAACTGATAATTGAAAAAAATAGAAAACTTCTCCAAAGGACCAGAAAAAGAAAACCACAGGAAGGAGGACTGACCTCTGATTAAAAGATGGTGGGAACAAGAATAGACAGAGAAAAGGCAGTGTGCAAGAATTCACTGCTGCTGTGTCTCTGTCATTTGAATGGCTGTGTCATCTGTTCTGAGTAACTTGAATGCCCTCCCTTCTATTGCTTTTATCCTGCTTAGCAGGGTCCTTGTTTACTGTCTTCTGTTTCCTGGGGAACCTTTCAGGAGAGATTCATATTGTGTGTTGCCTTTGTTCCGTCCCTCCCTCTCCTGCACACCCTGCTCCCTGGCTCCTCCCTTCTCCCCCACGGCAGGACTATGAGCCGTGGTGTCTCTGAAATGTGGTGTGGATTCCACCAGTGTTTTTCCTCATCACCATAGGTTCTTGCCTTCATAAAGTGTCTGGATTTCCCCGGCAGGGCACTACACACCCTGTGACCACCGTCAGCAGCAGCGATGTGGAGAAGGCCTACCTGGCATACTGCACACCAGGGTCTGATGCCCACATGGCCACCCTGAAGTTCCAAGCCGGAAAGCACAACTACGAGTTAGACTTCAAAGGTACCCCCTGACCCCCACCCTCACCCAGCAGAGCCTAGCCCTGCACTGGCTCTGCCTTTCCAAGTTATCCCTGGAGGAGCTGCATGCACACACTGAGGGCCTGGGCTGGAGCAGGGAAGAAAAGGAAGGGAAACAGACCTGTCAGTGGATGACATTGGCACATCTAGAAGGGAAACAGATCTGTCAATGGATGACATTGGCACACGGGATCAAGGAGAAGCTATGAGGGAGGTTTGAGGGGAAAGGACCCTGAGAAGGGCATAGGAGCCTGCATCACATAGGGATGAGCCTGGTCAGCTTGTGTGCAGTGTGATTGTCCAGGGGGCCATGGATGGGTCCTCTCTTTTATATTGACATATCCCCCGTGCCTAGAACAATGCATAGCAGGTCCCCAGGAAATAGACGTTGGCCGATTGAAGGAGAAAGTATTGCTGCCTCAAGTCTGTTGGTCAGTTGGAGTTGGTCACTCTCAGTGGTGGCCCCATTCTTCACCTTCTGCCACGAGTAACCTCAGCCCTTGACAAGTGTCCTGGTGGCTCTGTGGAATGGCGTCTCCCTTGTCAGTACTGCTGTCATCTTCTCTGTAGGTGCCTTTGGGTTGGTGGCGTGTCAGCTGGATTAGACATGTGGTAGGACATGTTTTAACTAAAAGTCCCTGGGAAGCTGATTTTCCTGTACTTTTAGTGTCCTGAAACTGGACCTATGTGATTCATCCTGGTTGCCTTAACATACATAAATAGGCTAAACACCCTTTGGCCAGTTCCTCCAGAGACCAATTTGTGAGAATTTTTCTTTCTTTTAAATTTCAGTTTTGCTGTAGTTTCCTTTTAAGCCATTTCCATGTGGATGTATTGGTCCAGCTCTGTTCAATTCAGTTTTGCCTGTATTTCACATTTTAAAATGAGTCCTTCTGGATGATCAGCATTTTATAAGGGAATAAGTGGGCCTTCCTTTAAACACAGTTTACTGTTTTCTCTATTTTTATGGGACCTTTGTTTTCTGTGGAGGGCTGCAAATGAGGTCTTTGGTGAATTATCCTAAAACCACTTTAGCTGCCTGCTCTTGGTCAATTAGTTTTGCTTGTGGTTTAGTAACACTTACGGTTTTGTTTAAGGTAGAATCACTGCCCTCTCAACATGACCTTACAGAGAAGTTTCTTCTGCCCTATAGTGAGAACTGCTTCTGCTGGAGAACTCCAGCCATCATGATATGGTTTGCTGTCCACAGTCGGATAAACAGAAGTATACGAGAGGGGACAGTGAGAGCATGGGAATTAATAAAAGATCAAATCTATGCAGCTGTCCCTCATCTGACTGCAGTTGCCAACAGTTTGAAATATTTCTTTTATATATTTGAAAAATATCAAACAAATACACTAAAAATGTCAGTTGCAGTCTTTATCATTTTCACCTTAGGGCACATCCCCAGGGACATAAAAGAATCTCAGGATGAGGTGGGGAAGAGCACACAATAGTTTGAGAAAGCATATTTACTGATGATTGACCTAAGCTCATTTGGGTGGGCACAATTCTTTTTTTTTTTTGGTAGATAACAGGAGCCACAAAAGAAGTTTGAGGTGAGTTGGCTTCTCTTGTCATAACCTCACTACTAGGTATAATGAAAGCAAGTCTCAGACCAAACTCTGCCACACACATTTATTAACTAATTACAAGGCAGCAAGTACATTTACCTTTTTTTTTTTGACCGGGAAGGGGATAGCAACCATTGGCTTGGTGTCGCCCGCACCGCGCTCAGCCAGTGAGCGCACCGGCCATCCCTATATAGGATCCGAACCACGGAGGGAGTGCCGCTGCACTCCCAGCGCCGCACTCTCCCGAGTGCGCCACGGGGTCGGCCCAAGAAGCAAGTACATTTAAAACACACACATACACACACACCACAGCCCAGATGACTTGTTCTGTAGGTTCAGAGAAGATTCAGCTCTATCCTTTTGGGGATTCTTGTCACAAAAGAGGCAGAATTCTGGCATCCTGTCAACTGGCACCAGATGGGCAGAATCCCCCAAAGTCAGGGCTGGTTTAGAGATGTCACTTAGTGTATCCTCTTTAAAGGTAAGTTAGGGAAAAGGCCTCACTTTAGTCTGTCCATGTAAGGAATGTGTCTAACATATACTTAGCCAGTCTACTTATCCTGAACAACTTAATTTCACTAGCGAAAGCCTGATCACAGATGGTCGTAGGCCAATAAAAACCTATTTAAGTATGCTAATGAGCAAAGCATGGATGGAAAGTTGAGTGGTGGGTAACAGAAGGGGTTGGAAGCTGCATCTGGATTATGGACTCCAGATGAGAATGTGAGTTGACCTCCCCAGGAATGGTGACCACCTGGGCTGTAGTGTAAGGGACACACACTTGGGTTATTGTACACTTTATGTTCAAGTACAGTAAGGTAAATTCCAGATATCTATAATTTTTAATAAAATGTCTTTTAAATGAAAGTAAAATAGTTTTTGTACTTTAAGTGTAGACTCGATAGGGTTTTCCTGGTGGGTGGGGACATGTGCTCCAATTCTAGGTATTTATCATTATTCAACTTGAGGATCTGTGTCTCCTCCCTCTCTCTCCCCCATCCTCAGGATGAATATGAAATTCTTGAGGGTGGGGCAGCAAGAATTTTGTTTATTGAAAATGGTATAGGTTTTAAAAGATTGATAAATACTGCTATAAAGTCATTTTAATCAAACTTTAAAAAAAAGTTATGAGTAAAATTATTAACTCTAAATCCCACTAACTCAAGACTTGATGATTTGGTCTCAGGCTGGGCTGAAGCTTTTTTATATCCAAACTGGGAAAAATTTCTAAGCAAAATAATAGTTTAAACAAGGTCGGAGGAAGGAACAATTTAAAGGCACTCATGTATAATTGATATATCGATTACTAATCATTCCTCCATTCATTAAATCCAGTCTCCTAAGGATACCTATTTTCTTTATGAATACTAGAAATGTGTAACACTGCCTTATTTTTAACAGACTGATTCTGGGCTTTGCTCATTTGGATTAGCTTTCAAACCCATTTCATTTGTGTTTGTAAAACATTGCTGTCCTTTGTGTGCATATTTATATACATGTATGTTTTTTCCATTGGCTATTTTTTATTAGCCTTAGTTCAGAAGAACCTGGCCTATGGCACAATCAGAAATGTTTGCCGCAGACCCAAATACGTTTCTCCCCAGGATGTGACGGCCATGCAAAACTGGTAGGTTGTGTTTGGGGAACTTAGGGAACTTACTTGGCACGTGTTACCAGTTGGGGTGTACTCTACTGCAAGGAACAGAAAACCTACTTCAGACAGCATTAAAGGGCATTTACTGACTTGCATGACCAAATGCTGTAGCATTCTACTGTCATTCATATTCTAATTGGGAAAGTCTTTGAACCCAAGTGAGAGTTTTCCTTGTGGGTAGAAGCTGTATAATACATAGTTATAAGCTGCCTGTTGTGATCTGGAAGCCAGTCTAGACTGGAAGCCACCTTATCAGTTTATCTTTTCAATGGAACAATTGAGTCATAGACCCAAATATTTAAAAAATATTGAACTAATGAAATGATGGAATTACACCAATAAAAAGCCATGTATTTCAGTACTTGAATATCATAGAATACTGGTATTCTGTGATACCAAAAACTGGTATTCTGTAATACCAAAACTGGTATTACAGTCACTAATGGACCAACTTTATCCTCAGGGTGAGTTTCCTTATGTTATAAGATGCCTGCGAGGAGCCACTAGGTTAGTCTCTGTCCTTGTGAGCACATAGGAAGGAGGAAAAAGACCTCCTGTAGCTGATGGGGGAAGCTCTTGAACTTTGCCCTGGTCATAGTCCCTCTGCAAATAATGTTGCTTTAGGCTTTGGCAAGTGCGATGGTGAGGAGCCACTAGGTTAGTCTCTGTCCTTGTGAGCACATAGGAAGGAGGAAAAAGACCTCCTGTAGCTGATGGGGGAAGCTCTTGAGCTTTGCCCTGGTCATAGTCCCTCTGCAAATAATGTTGCTTTAGGCTTTGGCAAGTGCGATGGGATTGGAGCTGGGCAGGGAAAGGTCAGTATTCTCCAAACTACATGGCCACATAATGGGGGAAGGTGGCTCACCTGGTGGAGGGACACCACGGTGCGTGCAACAGCTTGGGTTTGCCATAGCCACCGCTGAGACTTGAGCCAGTGTTGCTGTTAGCCCCACTACACCTTCCACTAGCCTGAGAAGTCTGGTTCATTTATGTTTCATGGAGGACCAGCAGTGTCGCTGTTGGTACTTTTAAGATTTCCCAGGTGGGTGTTAGTGGCTATATTTGTGAAGCACAGAAAAGTCATTTTAAAAAGTTCAGTACAAGCTAGAGGAAAACGGTATTATCAATACAAGAAGTATTGCCTTGTGAGTCAGGTCTAACAAAGTAAGCCACATTCCCAGGAATTTTTTCCTATTTTTATTAAAATTTATTTTTGATTACATATAAAATATTTGAGTGACTAAAAGTTGAAACTGTAAAAAGGTATACTCGGTAGTCCGTATCTTTCCCCCTGTTATCTGTATCCGATTCTCACTGTGGGTTACCTTTTTATTTGTTTCTGGTTTCTCTTTGCAAAAACAAGCAAATGCATATGCATATGTATGTGTAAAAGTACTTTCTTCTCTTTTCTTGCACAAAAGATAGACTATGTATACTGTTCTGTACCTTTTTTTTTTTCTCACTTAAAAATAGATCCTGATAATTACTGTTTCATTTCATTGAAGTCTTCATAAATCTGCTTCTGCTTTCATGGTTCTCCATCATGTGTATGAGGGGTCATCAAAAAAGTTCATGGAAAGATTTGTATTGTCTTTCAATTTCATTTTTCCATGAACTTTTACAAGTACTCTCATATGTGCCATGGTTTATTTAATATGTCCCTTTTGATGGATGTTTGTGTTGTTTTCAGTTTCTTGCCATTACAAAGTGTAATGCCACAATGCCAGCACAATCTGGTGTGTGTGCTGTTTTGAATTTTGGAGGTAGATCATCAAGTCAGAGTCCTGGAAGGTAAACCAAGTTTCTTTCATGGGCTTGAACCATTATGCACTCCCAGCAGGATGCGGGAGATGCCTGCTTCCCTTGGCCTTGCCAACAGAGTGCGGACAAGCTCTTGGGCTTTTGCCATTCTCATATGTGGGAAAGGGTGTATCGGTGTACTTTAGTTTGCATCTCTTTTGAGTGAGGATGAATTTTTTTTCTGGTATGTAAGGGCCATTTCCCTTTTTCTGTAGACTATTTGTCATTTTTCCATTGACTTTTTGGTATTTTTCTTATGTATTGAGAGCCTTTTATCTATTAGGGAGGTTAACCCTCGGTTTGTTATGTAAATTGCAAATATTTTCTTTTGGTTTGTTATTTGCCTTTTGACTTTGCTTAAGAAGTATTTTACTATACAGAAATATCTACTTATTATTTTTTTTTTTTAATTAAAGGCATCAGTCTCTTTATTATTTTTGGATTTATAGTTTTGGTTGATTATGACCTCCCTATTGCTATCATTTTTTATTCTTCCCCCATTCAGAGTTTACCCTAGGCAAAGTTTGGAAAACTGTTTGTGTCCTTTCTGAGACTAGAATTTTTTTTTTTGGTACACGGTTTGATCCCTTGACCTTTGTGTTATCAGCACCATGCACTAACCAGCCCTGAGACTAGAATTCTTTTGTGGTCATTCTAATTTAGTTTTCAGGGGGCCACAAGCAGACACCAAATATAAGAAATAAAAGTGATTATTTTGGTCAAATTCAAACTTACGATGTGAATGATTTAGGATCTCCCCTCTGAGCTAAGTGTTGCACACGGTTTGTGCAGGTGAAGTGCTCAGTTCTTTCCTCCAACCCACGTGATGGTAGCTAGTTTTCATTAACTCCAGCAAGCAAATCTGCTTGAGCCTCCGTGTTCAACTGGGACTCTAAGGGTAGGTCACTTTCAGAAACAACTTCTCTTTCTGCAATTAGTGGGGTCACAAAATATGATCTCCATATTCAGAAGTTATAATATAGGAGTGTCATTTAATGTAAAATTTAAAACGGTGTTTATATACATCAAGTATCTGGTTTAGTACCTTATTGTCCTTCCATCCTCATGAAAATGTTTTATTCTTGTGATTGGGCCTTATTTTTTTCCTTACCTTCTTTTGGATACTTTTTATCATTTTGCTTTCTTCCCCTTGTTAGTTTGGAAGTTATACATTATTTTACTATTTTTTAAAGAGGCTACACTAGAAACTACAATATATTTTCTTCACTTACATACAAGTAAATATCTTTGCTCTCCTATCAACTAACGTAAGGGCCTCCATAAACTTCTCCATTATCTTCCTCTCAACTTTTTTTTTAACCTCAAGAGGCACTATTATTTTATACTGTGAATGTTTCATTAAATTTACTCACATTTTTTGTCCTTTCAAATATCCTTCAATGAAGTTCTATTGGAAAACTCTGCTTTTTGGTTTGTCTGAATATGTCTTTATTTTCCTCTCAATCTCGAAAGATATTTTCACTGGGTATAGAATTTTAGGTAGTTGTTTTCTATTGGAAACATTGAAGATATCACTCCATTGTCTTCTGGTTTTTATTGTTGCTTTTGAGAAATTGGCTGTTGGTCTAATTGGTGCTTCTTTGATGGTAATCACTCTTTTTTTCCTCTGTCTACTTTTAAGAGCATCTTTTGTCTTGGAGTTATGCACCCTCACTATGGAGTGCCTAGGTAGGTGTTTTTGTCTTGCTTGAGATTCTTTGGGCTTCTCAAACTTGTGGGTTGGTGTGTCTCATCAGTTCTCTTTGAAAATTGCCTTATTCTCTCTACTCTTACTCTGGAGCTTCACTTAGGTTCTGATCAGATTCTAATGAGGCCTTCTCATTTTGTTCTCAATGTTTCAACTTCTTTCCCACAGTTTTCTTCTCCTTATTGCTCTGGGCCACATTCTGGATAACTTCATTTCACATATCTCAGCTCACTACTTCTCTCTCCAGGTGATCTAATCTGCTATTAAGTCTTTCCATTGAACTTTTACTATCAAGGATTATAATTTTCATTTCTAGAAGTTTTTTTGGTTGTTTTTCAGATCTTCCACATCTCTTTATAGTTTCATGTTCCTTGCACGTGTTTTTAAAGTTTATCTTTTATTTCTCTAAACATAGGAAGAAAAATTGTTTTATAATCTGTCTGACAGTATCAGCATCTTAAGTCTTTATGGGTCTCTTTCTGGCTGATTCTTACTGGTGGAACCTTAGTTGTTTTTTTTTTTTTGTCTTTTTTTTTCCGTGTCCGGCAACGGATCACAACCCTCAGTGTTGCCCCCGTACCGGACCGGGGACCGGCAACGGGATTGCAACCCTCAGTGTTGCTCCCGCGCCTCGCTCAGCCAGTGAGCGGGAACCGGTCTGTATGTGGGATCCGAACCCTTGGGCGGGAGCGCCGCCGCGCTTCCCAAGCGGCGCACTTATCCAGTGCGCCACCGGGCCGGCCCCGAACCTTAGTTATTTTTAAACTGTGCCACTTTCCTAGGAAAGTTATTTGTGGGAGATCTTTGAGGCTTAGGATGAAGGTACATGCCTCATGCCAGCAAGCAAAAACAGAAGGTAGATCTATTGTAGGAAGAACAGTGCATTCTGAAACTCAATAGGAATGATTTGGAATTATAGTTTCACAATCCTTGTTCCTAAACCCTTTGGGCCATATGTATTTTAGAACTGCTTTCATTTATTTATTTTTATTTTTAGAAAGATAATGTAGTGCGTGTATTACGTGACACTCTTTAATTTAGCAATTTAATATTTCTGGTAAAGAATATACATAGTCACTTCATGAAGGATAAATACAGACCATAAGTAGAACCTTACCAGTTCAAGTTAAATTTCTATTGCAAATGAGTTTTGATGTCAATTTTGTGTTTTTTTTTTTAAATGTTTTTATATGTCAGTTATGCCTCATTGAGGCTTTTTTTTTAGTCTTTAGAGCTCTTTGGTTTTCAAAATCATGGGTAAGTGTTTGTGGCCCTGTATATGCTACTTTAATTGTGTTCTTTATTCCTGTGCAGTAGTTGGAACACAGGTGAGAAATAGATCTCTCATGACTAATTGTTTTGTGTTTGGCCACGTAGGCAAAGATAAATGTGCTCTCACATTGTGTTTATGTACTTCCTTGCCTTCTACCTCCTTTTAAAATGTGATGTGCTGAGACTCAAGACTGGTGATATTGGTTAGTGGAGATTGTCTATGATAGATTTGCTTATGTCTAAGAATAAAATGTCTAAGTGTGTTTTTCTTTATATTTTGTAGCAATGCCAACTTTCAAGGCCCAAAGAACATCCCAGACTATTGGGACTCCTCAGCCTTGCCAGACCCAGGCTTTAAGGTATGGGACTCATGCTGCCTGGACTGCAGAGAAGGGTAGTCTGTAGAGGCAGGGCGTGTGAACAGATTGTGGCTGTTTCCTCTAATGCTGAAGAAGCTGCAAGGCTGTGGCTCATGGGGGCAGGAGGGCAAGGATGTAAGTAGATTCTTTTTTATGTTTTTCACGTCTTGGGTCTTTTAAGGCCAGATGACCACCCAGGAGATGGCTGTGGCTGTGAGGGGAGAGAATGTATTGTGGAGGAAGGAGGATAAGTTTTGAAATTTGCTAGATAGGGCAGAAATAAGGATCTCATGAACTGGGCTTAGCCAATAAATATGAGTTTTACTAAACAAGAAAAGGAAAAGAAATCAGGAGAGGATTTTAGTATGACGAGGGACATTTAGAGGAGGAATAACAGTGGGCAGGTGCTAGATACCAGAAGGCAGGAGAATGGACAGTCAGTTCAGTAGCCCATTTAGGGTCTGCTGTCTAATGGGAGCTGTGCAAGGATGAAGGTACTTCACAGAGTTTGTGGAAAAATAGAATTGAAAGACAATAAGAACTTTACATGAAGTTTTTGAAATAACCCTCATAACAGTAGAGTATCAGACTAATGTGTGACATTGCAATGTCTACGTGGGCACCTGGGTTGACATCTGACAGCCTCATGCCAAGCACTGTTCAGACAGGCATTTATAACATGACAATCCCTGTGCTGGGAGGATGAATCTCATTGAGTTTGTAGAAAACACACACACAGACACCAACAGTGCAGGCAGGATGTGTTTAGGGCTGGAGGACTGCAGACACATTTATCAATACTAACTCTTTGGTCTTGTAGACCATGTACTCCAACCTGTGCTTTGACCTATATAGGATACAAAAGGAGAGCAGAGACATCCTGGGGACACTCAGGATGGCTGGCTTAAAAATCACATGCCTGTCCTTCAGGCTGGTTTCACATGAACAAAAGGGAAATGACTACAATTTGTAGATACTCTGTGCCTGGAGGGACAACATGTCAGGGAAGGAGGGGTATGTGGTCACCATGATCTGGGCTCTTGTGCTTCTGCAGTTCTAGCATTTATAAGCAGACTTGGGAAGCAATTGATCTCTATTCTGCACTTTGATGAGAACATATTAAAAATATTTGCCACTTGCAGAAGATCACTCTCAGTTCTTCCTCGGAGGAGTATCAGAAGGTCTGGAACCTCTTTAACCGCACGCTGCCTTTCTACTTTGTTCAGAAGATTGAGCGAGTCCAGAACCTGGCCCTCTGGGAAGTCTACCAGTGGTGCGTTGGGGCTCGCTCTTGGTGGGCTGGGGGCTCTGTCCCCTCACCCTGCTAGCTGCTTACCAAACATGTCCCGGGCTTCCAGGAAGGTCAGAGAGAGCAGCCGCAGCTTGCCAAGTGCTGCTGTTGCCTGGGTGCTGTGTCTGCTACCCTTCATCTGCCCATCCTCAGGCCATGTGGTGGCACATCCCACTGCAGAGATGAGGGCCCTGAATGACTGGGAAAAAGCTAGCACTCACAGTTGTCCATCCTGCCTCCCTGAAGATTGATGGGATGGAGCAGTACACCCACCCACACCCTCAGGAACATAAAGCTATGGCCGGGGAGCAGGGGCCTCATTTTTGTGCATGAGGATGGACATGTTCTTGGGCACTCAGTCACTTGTCCATGTGGGGAGGAAACCCTCAGCAGGTTGCCATCACAGACTGGGATCCTGCTGACCTGTCCCCACATGGGGTTTAGGGCAGTGTTATCTGCACCGTGTGTACAGGGATGAAGTCAGGGCCACAGTAGAGGGGAGAAGAATGGGCCCACCTGACCAGCAGCCTTGCCTCTAGCTTCCCAGGGCTCAGCTCCACTCAGGAGCAGGGTGGGGGAAGGAAACATGCTTCTGTCCAGGGGCTCCTCTGCTTTTGGAGTCAAGGAGCCCCTGGAGGCCTGGAGCTGGGAGTAGAGTTTCCCTTCTGCCTTTCACCCGGGTCCCACTCTTGGCCTGGGGCAGGAGCCTCAGAGGCCTGGCCAGGGTAGCCTGTGACCTGCATCTCCTAGTCTCAGGACACTTCTGTTATTTTGGCAAAATGTGTTTTCTTGGGTTTGGTGGCCAGCACCCTCTGCCTCCAACATGTGTTCTTTTGTGATTCTAGGCAAAAAGGGCAAATGCAGAAACAAAATGGAGGAAAGGCGGTGGATGAGAGGCAACTGTTCCACGGCACCAGCAGCAGTTTCGTGGATGCCATCTGCCAGCAGAACTTTGACTGGCGGGTCTGTGGTCTTCATGGCACTTCCTATGGCAAGGGTGAGGCGAGGGCGGCCTCTACCAGCAGAACCCTATGTTGCCTCACCACTGGGCCCAGGAAACTTCTAAAGCAGACTTATACAGAGCATGAAGGGAACCAGCCTCAGCTGATGAGCCGGTTCAAACCTGGTGATCAGTGGCACTGGGTCCTCCATGGGGACGCCCCACAGGCAGCACCTCACTGTCCCGCCTTTGTGTGTAGCCAGGGTGTGTGGGCAGGGTGGGCTGCCTGGCTGGGGTGTGGCTTCCCTGAGAGGTGAGCCTACACCCCTGTGGAATGGAGGTCCTGGGAGAAGGTGACAGAGTCAGAGAGGAGAGGGGAGGGGATAACATCCCTGCCCTGATCAGGTTCCCAGACTACACCTTTGCGATTTCCTAAGAATAGAAACCTGAAGACCTCAGATACACTCACGTAAACATGTCATTCTAGCTATCATGTGAGTTATCTGTGTTTTCCTGTCTCTTATTTTTAAACTTTATTTGGAAATAATTTCAAACTCAGAGGAAAGTTGTAAGAATAATATAAAAAAAAAAACCTCCTGCATAAAATTTACCCAGATTTATCAGTTTTATCATTTTGCCACTTGGTTTTATCATCTCTTCTTTTTTCTGAACTACTTGCAAGTAGGTGGCATTTATTGTGCCCCTTTAGCCTTTAACACTTCCTAAGAGCAAGGATAGTATCTTTTGTGACTACAATATGGCTACCAAATTAAAAAAATTTAGTAACCTGCAGTCCATATTCCAAATCTATCAATTGTCGTCAGTTAGTTTCACTCTGATGTAGTGAGGGCCATGGGGTCAAGATGGACAAGGGCCCGTGGTAGGTTTGTGATTCCAAGTGTATGGGTGGCAGCTTCCAGCCCAGGTTCCCATTTGAGGGTTCATAATTCTATACGTGGGGCTGCTGGTGTCTACAAGTGTCTGCATATGGGATCTCGTTCACTTTACATGCTGACCTAAGAGGTTAGGCGTAACAGCTCCGTTTTATAGCTGAGAAAGCTGAGGTTCAGGGAGTTAAGTAGCAATGTGCCCAGGTACCTTCAGGTTTTCAATGATGGATTTGGAACTTGAAAGGAGCTTTCTGAGTCAGTTTGGTGACTTCTCTGACACTCTGCCCCTCAGAAGGGTGTTGGCAGCATTGATGCATGGTCCTTCCTGAGGGGGTAGGGAAAAATGGGGCAGAGGGAGGAAGAGAGATATGGCGACAGAAGAGCAGAGGCTCCTTGTGTTGCCCATGGTTGGGATGCTGTCCACCGGTGGGCTGATGCCTCTCCCCTTCTTGGTGGCAGGCCTTTATCCCCGGTGCCCAGCTGAGGCCATGTGTATTTCATTTCAGGGAGCTACTTTGCCCGCGACGCTGCGTATTCGCACCACTACTGCCAGTCTGACACGCAGTCTCACGTGATGTTCCTGGCCCGGGTGCTGGTGGGCGAGTTTGTCAGGGGCAGTGCCTGCTTTGTCCGCCCCCCGGCCAAGGAAGGCCAGAGCAACATTTTCTACGACAGCTGCGTGAACAGCGTGTCCGATCCCTCCATCTTCGTGGTCTTTGAGAAGCACCAGGTCTACCCTGAGTACCTCATCCAGTACTCTGCCTCCTCCTCCAAGCCTGCCACCACCGCCACCACCACTGCCACCGCCATGCCCTCCATCGCCATGCCCTCCATCCTGTTCTTGGGCTCCTTGTTTGGTAGGCGGCAGTGAGCCAAGCACCAGGCTGTTCTGAGGCCTGTCAGGCTGATCTTCCTGGAAAGAGCTGTTTGGGATTTATTTTTATTTTTACAAAATAACTTTTAATGAACTGTTCAATTCATGTTGTCTTCTGAGTGAAGTTACATTCTGAATCTCTTGCTGATTATGGTTTTCACTTTCAAGTCACTTTTGGGCTCACTAATGGACTAACCAGTAGTGATTCTAGGTACGCCCATTGTTGCTTTTTAATGGTGTGTTAAAGTTGTATTTTTTACTCTCTTTGTTGACTTTGCTGCTTATTGGTACCAGGCACAGAGTTTCTAGACACAATTTTATGGATTTGTTTTAATTTTTAAGAGTTTGTGTCTCTACCGTGAATCAGTTTTTCAGGGTCTCGTGGCATCTGCTTTACTTTCTGTCAGAATGACACAGTAGCCTCTGCTGGAGGAGAGCCCAGGTGGGCCCAGGGCAGCACAGTCACTTTGTTGCTGCTATGGCACTGACCAGGCAGCTCTGCTTTGTTGCTCCTGGGCTCTGGCATTAGCTGACCTATATCACATTGTCAGAACAAGTGTGCTACTGTGTGGCATCATCGAGTTTCTGCTGGTCTCCCCTTGTTTGGTGTGAGTCAGCCATCACTCAGAGGAAATCACTCATCTACCTTGGCAGGTGACTTGGATGAGTGACTCCCCCTGAGGATCCCTGGGCTTGGCCTGTGAGTGCCCATACCTGCATCTCCCAGGCACACTGGACACCCTTCAAGTGTGCATTTTAATGTCCGCGTGAAATTGACTACCTGTGCTGCAAATGTCACAAGAGTATGGAAATAAAAGAATATTTATCTGAAGTGGATGAGGACTGAAGCTCATTCTTCAGTGTCTATTGAGCACCTCCCACCTCCTGGGTACCAGGCACTTTTCTGTGTGTCAGGGATTATCTCAGTCCTTTTGGGCTGCTGTGACAAAATAACATAGACTAGGTGGCTTAAAAACAACAGATATTTCTTGCTGTTCTGGAGACTGGAAGTCCAAGAAGGTGCCATCAGATTCAGTGACTGGTGAGGACCCACCTCCTCATAGTTTCAGTGTCTTTTCACTGTAACCTCACATAGTGGAAGGGGTGAGGGGTCTCTCTCAGGCATCTTTCATGAGGGCACTAATCCCATTTGTGAGGGCTCCGCCCCCATGACCTAATCACCTCCCAAGGGCTCCACCTCCTAAAACCATCACCTTGGTGAGGAGAATTTCAGCATATGAATTTGGGGGGAACATACACTTTCAGACCATAGCAGGAATGTAGCAGAGACAATGTCACTGGCCTTGGTAGGGCTGTGAGTGGATTTATTACGAAGCTAATGAAGCTGAAGGTTCAGGGTCTCTCACCTACTGCACCCCTTTCCAAGACCCTAGGATGGGCCCTAGCAGTATGATCACATGATCATACATTTTGTTAAAATTTTCAAAAGTTACATATTTGTATTTTTCTTTCCCTCAACTCATAAGTTTCAGGCCCCACAGAACTCATGTTCCCCATTGTGCAAAGTATGTGTGGATTTGGAGGGTTGTGATGTGTCTGCGTCTGTGTCCTCCACATATAGCAGCTCATGGGAGCCTCCCTCTTGGGCACTGGCTGGTTCTAGTCCAGCTGGCAGAGGGCCTGGCAGGGTGAAGCTGCATCACCAGGCTGGCTGTTGGCTTCAGTAATGTGCTTCTTTCATCTACATGCTTCTTGTCTGTTCTTTCATCTTCCTGATAAGGTGTGTCTGCTTGTGACTTGGTGCTTCCACTTTAGTTGATTGTCCTGTAGTTTTCAGATCCAAGGCTGTTTAGTTTTTCCATCTTTGGGGTGATCTGAAACCTTACACAGGCAAGTGTAATCAAGCAGAGATAAGCTAAGTGACAAGAAAAATGAAGCAGCAGCAACAAAACCTTACCCACCAGCAGGGTCAGCCACATAGTTGCATATGTGAACTCTCCGTGGCTTTCCTCCACAGCTTGACTAATCCTGAAATTTCATTTATTGCTTTTGGATTAAGTCATCTGCCCTGCTACAGTGTATTTGGATGAGGGGGCAGTGGGGTATCAGAGAGAACCATTCAATCAGATGCTTGCCTGTTAAAAGTCTTGAAAGTAAATGAATTGATCCTGTGATTTTTAACCATCTGGTTGCTGGGAGCTGGGGAGTAATGGGAAGCAGGAATGGTTCATTGAGGAGTGTGGGTGGGAGGTAATCAATGCTCCAGAAAAGCCAAGTGAGCTGTGAAGACTGCAGAAGCCACTGGATTTGACAACCTTTGAGAAAGCAAGTTGGAAGAGCAACTACTTGGACTGACAGTGCTGGAGAGGGATGGGATCCATGTGGCCAGGTTGCCTGGGGGGCAGGGCGGTGTTCCCGTGGGTGTGGGAGGGGCTGGGTATCATGATGGGAAGAAGTCCAAATGACTGTACTTCTCCAGATGTTTGATGCAAAGAGGCAGCAGGATCCTGGGCAGGTGCATGTGTATGTAGTTGACCAGAGGTATTTGCAAGGACCCAGCTGGGCTACTACTGTAGAAGGGCTTTGTGGAGGATGCAGCCATTGCAGTTCCCTGCCATATCCTGCCCCTTGATAATCCGTGTTGGGCGTGACAGTGGGATTTAAGCAGAGGTATGGATTGATGGGTCCAAACTGGAACGCTGGGAGTCCAGCGATTCTAGCACAGGAGGCTTTTACCTCTATGTCTGAAGATGGTGACCACCTGGACAGGGAAGGTGAGGGATGCCAGATGGAGCTGATGGGCTGGGGTGCGGGGCCAGAGGTCACCAAGCATGTATGGTTTTGTTCAGTGAATCTGAGCCCCAGGGCTGGGCATTGCAGACGGGCCCGATTATGGAGAAGAGCAGGCAGTGGCAACAAGTGTGGAGAGGGCCATGTGACAGGATCACGAGGACCTCCGAGGGGATGGGCAGTCAAAGCTGTTGTGGTTCATCTGGCCAGGAAAGTGCTGGGGAGGCCAGAGAGTGAGAGAAGGGGCCTTCCAAGGGAGGGTTTGGGGGAAGCAGTGGGGTATTCTGGGCTGGCGGTGTCGAGGGGGAGGGCCAAACGGTGGGGGTAGCATTCACAGCTGTGAGAATGTGGAAATCTGTTCTGCCAACTCCTGGAACAGCCTGAATTCCCTAAAGATGGGCTGTCAGCATCTGGGAGTCACATAAAGTGCTCACAGATTGTTACTGAGATTATCTAGATGACATTCAGCCCCTTAAAGCTGCTCTGATGTCAAATAGAGAAGGGATCTTTGATCTAGGTCAGCCTTCCTATTTTACAGACGAGAAGACTGAGGCACAGGGAGGTGAAAAGACCGGCAGCCACAACCACACATCTGCTGGTGGCAGATCTAGGATTCAATCTGCAAATGTTTTGGTGAATGTGAACTTCTCAGCAACACAATTACTTTTACTAAAATTCACCTCTATATTTTGATTCTTTGATCAAAGTTAAGAAAAGATATGATGCTCTTTAAAAGAAAAAGTCCATTTAGCCTATTTCTGTCTCCTAAAACCTACTATAAAATAGGTACTACCCTACCTGGGAAAACCACAGCATAATAAAGCTTTGGAACCACTTTTGAAGTTGAACTTCTGATGAATGTCACTCTCTAAAACTCCACAATGCACGAGAAGCTGAAAAAGCCATGGGCTGGTGCCACCAGGACAGGCTCACCTGAGTGTCCTTGTGTCCCCTGCACTACAGATTCCTTCCATCCTGAGGCCAGCACTTTCTTTAAAATTCCATGTTCTAAGTCATTTTGTCAAAACTACATTTTTGCTGTTTTATCAGCAATCCTTCATTTAGGGAGAGCAGAGATTCAAACCCCATTGGCAGTGTCAAAAGTACATGCAGCAAATGTTTACTAAGCATTTACGAAATGTTACATAAATAACCTCTGTCATACTTGCCTGCCAGGCACCTTTTCCTTTTTTAAATTATTATTTATTTTTATTTTTTCATTTTCTTTCTTGTAAATTTCTTGTACAATCCAGGCACCCTTTCAATCACTTCAGTGAAATTTTTCCCAAATCCTGAATTTCCACATAAGGGGTTTCTTTGAATTTGAGGGTGCCCTTGTAACACTGCTTGCAGGTGTCATAACCACAAGATGCCCTTCCCCCCCGCTGGTGGCCTTCTATGTCAGCGGGGTACAAGCTTGATATGAACGCCATGTTTTGGACTGAGGGCAGATTTGGATTCTAGCTGCAGTGGTACCTAAAATAGAGAAAATTAAAAGATTGTCAAAGTTAACCATATCTACAGGAAAACTTCCTTGGAACTGGCCCTGAAGCAGGGCTGGTGGCTGTAGGCTGAGGGATAGCCGGGCTAGGAGTGAGCACAGAAACCTCCCCAGTTGGGCCACAGTTCCTCGAAAAGCCAAGACAGCCGCCCACTCGGGGACAGGCATTGGGGCCCCAGCAGCATACTGTTAATATGAGGAGTCTTCAAAAGGCTCATGGAAAGATTTGTATTACCTTTTCGTTCCATTTTCTGTGAACTTTTTGAAGTATCCTTGTAAAACGAACACTCCCCTTTCCCATGTTAATAAAGTACCACAGGCGAAGAGCACATTTGGTCCTGCATTTATCCACTCGATAAAACTAGGTAAGAGGGAGCAGTGTCTCTTTTTTGCAAATGAAGAAATCGAGGTTCATGGAGGCCAAGTAACTTGTCTAAGGTCACACAACCACGTAGCTAAGAGCGAAGCCTCAAACCCCATCTTCTGACTACTACAACCATCCCTGTGGTTCCCTCCTCATCTCGCTGCTTTTGGAGCCAGCCAGTCCTGGAGCAGTCCCCCTCTTTCCCAGGGCTTCGGGGAGAGTGGCTTCATGCTATTCCCTGCTCATGCATGCTGTGGTCTGGCCTTGCTGACAGTCAAAAAGCATTCTTTTTTTTTTTTTTAGATTGATTATGCATATTCATGTGGTACAAAGCTGACCGTCACCATTTGTGCCCAATATGTGATGGCCAGATCAATACTATCAGCATGCCCATTACCGCAAATTGCAATTATTCCCTGTGTCCCCCATCCAATTAATCCCCGATCTCCCTTCCCTCCCCCACCCCACCCCTGAAAGCTTTCCTATGTCCAACTTAAAAAGCGGAGTCGATAGTGTACTGGGGGCTTCGAAGAAAAGCCAAAGAATTACCCAAGAAGCCCGGTTTACCCTTGAGCTGTGTGTAAAATCATTCCACGGCTAATGTGAACCTTTTAATGCAAAGAAGAATCACCAGGGTCTCAGTGCTGAGACCTCAGCAGGCTGTTTCAGATGACTTTGAGGGTTACGGTTAAACAGGAGACAGGTTATATGCCCAAGAATCAAGATGGTCTAGGCCTGTGCTTTGAATGCTTGAAATGTGGATAGTGTGCATCAGGGACTGAATCTGGAATGGATTGGATTATAATCAAAATGTAAATAGCCACACACGGCTAGCGTCTACTGTATTAGCATAGATCTAGATGAACTAGAAATCGCACAAGAATTCAAAAAAGGAGAGGTCAGTTGGGTCTGACAAATTCAGGGAGGGCTTCCTGGAGGAACTCGCCTGGTGTGGGGCTGGGAATGGGGGAGGCCCTGTGGGCGGGACTTCTCAGGGGCCACCAAAGGATTTGGAGGATAGGATTAGATGGGGGGCTAGGAGGTAGGAGGGACGACATTTCCAGGTGGTGGCAATGGTCTGCGCAGATATGGAAGAGCGGGTGGGATCCTCTTGGAGTGGGAAGTTGGATGGGGAATACAAAGTGGACTCAGTCCTGTCCTGAATGCAGAATGGGTTCTCTCTGGCTCCAGCAGGCTCTGGGGACTCAGGGCTGGT